GGACCAACACAGAGAAAATTAGCATGACCCCTGCATAAGCATGACGCACCAATCTGTGAAGCAGTCCATATTACACAGTTACAAGAGGGCCATTTGACTAGTTTGCTGACAAGTTCCCGAAAACAGTGTGAGTCAAAGCAAAACAGGTGCTAGCCAATAATGAAATTACACATTTTCATTACAAGAACATTGGGGTAAGGTAATCTGTGAAATGAGAATAGAGCTGAGCAACCCATGGTGTGTTGTGTGCAAATATATTTTTAGTATGTATCTCAGAAATGAGAAAATAACCACTTGCATCTCCTTCATGACCCTTCAAAAATATGAGGGTTTTTGTCTTCCTTGTCAGTTGGAGATGACCATGGAGAGGAAGCATCATTCTAACAAAGATCCACTGGTTCAGAGTTAGAGTCTATAGAGGAAAAATAGTAGTAGTCCAAGCCAGGTCTTGACATCTGTTAGTTTTCTGCCTTTGGTGTGATTGTTGACATAAATAACAATGGATAATCATGTTATCTATTTTAATGAGATAATCTATTTATAAATTTAGTTACAAACTATGAAATAGTTGAGATGTCCTAAATCATAAGCTACAAATAATGGAATAAGTAATAAGCAAAATTAGGACTTAACAACATTTTCAAAAGATCATAATATTTTAATATTAGAACATATGGGAAAATACACATTGGGTTTCATTTGGGATTCCAAAATAATTTCAGCAAAATGTTCAAGAACAAATTATTCCATTGCTTTACTCTTTCTCTGAGCACATTAAAATGTGATTTCATTAAATGTTTATAATAACCTAGCGAATAAGGTGGTAAAACCTTCTTTCTTTGGAAGAAGACATTGAGCCTAAGAGAAGCGACTTGTACAAGAACAAATATCCGTTGGTTACAGAGCTAGGACTTATTATGAGTCAGATCATTTTCCATTATGTCAACTTCACATGAGTTAATTTACTGAGTTATACTGTCCTCACTTCATAAATACTTTACTTGTTTCTTCTTTAATTAGAAGCTTAGTAAGAATTTTGTAAGCTTACAAACTAAATGTGTATAATTAAAGTTCTGATATTGTTTGATATACTCTTAAGAATGTAATGTATTTGGTAAATGTTTTTCATATCAGTATTAAAATAGTAATTGTATTTACTACATTTTTACACATAGCATTCGCAGACTAATTTCTGAATATAAAGCAAACAAGAGACGTAAACGTCTTCAAAATAGAAATCCAGGTACGACTTCTGATAGTGAATTTCTCTTAATGGTCCTGACATAGATAAAAAAAGTAAGAGGAAGGAAGTTTTGATCACAAAACAGCAGTTTAAAAAAACCACTGTATAAATTGAATGTATATTTTTTAATTACTTTCTTAGTAATCTAGATTTCAGAATTATTTAAAAGGTTACTTGTAGGCAATTTATAATCTCAAGCAGTATTATCTGAAAAAAATTCATTATCATAGTTTCTGAAATTCTAGATGATACTTTTGTGTAAATAAGAAAAAAGATTTTTAAGTTAGTATGTGGTATGTTTTCCTTATAGTCACCTTATGATGAATTGGACTTGTATAAAATTGGGTATTTTAATTTATAAAATAAATGCTTTGCATTTAATAAATACGTATTACAGCTCAACCTTGAGCAGTGTGGGATTTAGGAGTACCAGTCCCCCATTCCGTTTGAAATCTGTGTATAACTTTGGACTCCCCCCTAAAACTTAACTACTCGTGGCTTACTGATGACTGGAAACCTTACTGATTACACAGTCAATTAAGACATATTTGTTATGTTGTATGTATTATATACTGTATTGTTACTACACTGAAGTAAGCTAGAGAAAAAGAAACTTATAAAGAAAATCATAATGAAGAAAGAATATATTTTCATTCGGTGGAAAGTACATCATCATAAAGCTCTTCATCCTCAGAGTCTTCAAGCTGACTAGGCTGAGGAGGAGTAGGAGGTAGAGGAAGATTGGTCTTGCCATCTCAGGTGGCAAAGGCAGAAGAAAATCTGCAGATAAGTGGACCGTTGCAGTTCAAACCTGTGTTATTCAGAGGTCAACTCTGACATGGTGATTTGTGTCATAAAAAAGTAACTTTCCTTAAAACTAGAATTTCAATGAGACCTTTCTGGTACCATGAACAAACAAACAATAAGAACTGTACCAATACCAATAGGATGTTATTTTTTAAAGATACCCAGTGTGTGGAGAAGTCAGAAAATAAATTCCTTATTGAGAAGCACAGGCCATGTTACATAGTCTTATACCAAGAAAGTCTCACTAGTATTGACTTAATTCCCCCCAAGTGGAAATAAAATGAGATATATTTACCTCGTTAGGGTGAAATTTGTTCTATCTGCTAGTTAATTGTCATAGTAACATCAATTTTATTAGAAGAAGACACACTGTTACTATTAGCTAAAAGATTATTATAATAATATTCGAATAACCCAACTCTAGGCTCAACACATCATAGTAAAAGTACAGCAACCATTACCAGAACAGAGCAGGGGCTGCCTCTTTGAGGTAGGATACGTGCTCTGCCACACAGCCCTACAACTTCACATTCCCTCCCAAAATAGAGGTGTGATTGGGTGCCATTTTTCAGAGGGTTTGCTTGGTAATTTTCTTCATACAAAAATGGTTCAGAAGAACGAAGATGCTACTTTCCTACCTCGATGTGACACCTAATGCACTTGTACAATCTGAAGGGTATGAGGACACCTTTGATTTAATGTATATTTGTGAAAGAATGCCTGTAGGTTAGGCTTTCCAGGTTACAGAAGACAAAAGTAGAATAGACATAGTTTTGGCCTTTAAGGTGCTCATAATTTTTATGCTTATACAACAGAGTTTTCAAAGAAAACATTTTCATTCTCATGTCCACTTAATAAATATCAAGTGTCTTTAAGGTAGTAAGCATTTTTCTAATAAGTACAGAATGCAAACATTTAAAAATACAGCCATGTTTCGACAGTTTCAAGTTTTGATCAGAAGTGTAGTTTACAGATGAGGAGTTTGGAGAAACTGACATCTTTTGTATAATACGGAGAAAAATATAAGGTGATATGCTGAATATACTAGTTCTCAGAATTCTGGGAATTCTGATGACATCAGTAGAAAACCCAGTACCTGGTTCTTTTTCTTAGTGCAATTCCCTCTTCATTTGCCTCTTCTGATATCTGCACTTCTACTGCTTCCTTTTGAATTTCATCCCTAAAGAAAACACTTTCAGAACACATTTCTAACAGATGTGTGTTTGACAAATGTGGATTATTTCAAGAGAATTGGCTACCTATCCTAAAGTATATCTGGTATTCTGTTAGTCTCTAATGCTAAACTTCTATCACAATGGCAGTGTCACTGATGATGGTCTGCCAAGAATTTTTTAAGTATCTTCTGGATCGTCAAATTCAAGTTGTTTTATCTGACATAGTTTTAAAGTGAAGTGCTTTTCTGGTATTATATTTTTCAGAAATTTGTGATCTGTGATTTAACTAGAATATGAAGTCCATTTCTTGATCATACTTTTAGTCATCTATATATAACTTCCTTTTTTTGAGACAGGGTCTTGCTTTGTTGCTGAGGCTAGAATGAAGTGGTATGATCATAGCTCTCCACAGCCTTGAACTCCAGGGCACAAGCAATCTTCTCATCTCAGTCTCCCAAGTACCTAGGACTACAGGCATGCATCACCATGCTCAGCTAATTTTTTATGTTTCATTTTGTAGTAATGAATGTCTTGCTATGTTTGTTGCCCAGGCTGGTCTCTAACTCTTGGCCTCATGTAATCCTTCCACCTTGACCTCACAAAGTGCTGGGATTACAGGAATGAGCCACCCTGCCCAGTCTACAAGGCTTTTTTCTTTGCTAAAGAAGTTTAAAGTATTATTGACCATTAATGATAAAAATCCACTGTTTGAGGAGGGAAATAGAAACTCATCCTATGTTTTGAATGTAGTATTTGACTTTTTGATTTGTTCTGTGAAGAAGTACCTTTAATAGGTGAACCATGTTTTTAGCTTTATATGCAATTAAGAAAAAGTTTTGAAACAAAAGGAACTCTATGGTCAGTACTAAAGTATTATACTATATCCAGTGGCTATATATACTTCTATAATTATCACAGTTGAGTGAATGCACATATATTTAATAATAATTATTATTTCTTTTATTGTTGTTGAGACGGAGTTGCTCTGTTGCCCATGCTGGAGTGCGGTGGCATGACCTGATCTCAGCTCACTGCAACATCCGCCTTCTGGGTTCAAGCGATTCTCCTGCCTCAGCCTTCCAAGTAGCTGGATTACAGGCACCCGCTACCATGCCCAGCTAATTTTTGTATTTTTAGTAGAGACAGGGTTTCACCGTGTTGGCCAGGCTGATCTTGAACTCCTGACCTCAAGTGATCTGCCTACCTCGGCCTCCCCAAGTGCTGGGATGACAGGCGTGAGCCACCACGCCTGGCCTTATTATTATTATTTCTTAAGAGATGGCAGTCTTGCTATGTTGCCCAGGCTGTAGTGCAGTGGCTATTCATAGGCACAGTCATACTGCACTGCAGCCTTCAACTCCTGACCTCGTGTGATGTTTCAGCCTCAGTTTTCTGAGTAGCTGGGACTACATGCGCACACATGGCACCTGGCTTGATATACAGTCATTATTAAGAGAAATAGGCTGGGTGCGGTGGCTCAAGCCTGTAATCCCAGCACTTTGGGAGGCCGAGACGGGTGGATCAGGAGGTCAGGAGATAGAGACCATCCTGGCTAACACGGTGAAACCCCGTCCCTACTAAAAAATACAAAAAACTAGCCGGGCGAGGTGGGGGGCGCCTGTAGTCCCAGCTACTCGGGAGGCTAAGGCAGGAGAATGGCGTAAACCCGGGAGGTGAAGCTTGCAGTGAGCTGAGATCTGGCCGCTGCACTCCAGCCTGGGCGACAGAGCGAGACTCCGTCTCAAAAAAAAAAAAAAAAAAAAAAAAAAGAGAAATTGACTGTGATCTTATTTTCCTGTGTGGAATTACAGGCAGTTGCTGCCATGCTCCCTTATGATTCTGATATTTTATGGTTTTCTATTGTTGATTTAAAATGTATTTTTTTTCTTTAGTAGCGCCTGCTGTTACTATTGAAGACTGCATGAACAGGTAGGATTTCACAGATTCTGAAAAGTGATATGTCTTCTAAGGGACTGCAGAGAAAAGAAACTAATAACTGTTGGTTGTTTTACTCTTATGTGCTTCACATTTATCATTTCCTGTAGTCCTCACATTGCTTTGCAAGTATCTGTGCTGTTATCACCTACTTTTTAAATAATTAGGCAACCATGATTCAGAGGGTTGGATAATTAGCCCATGATCCCGTTAATTAACAAGTAGCCAACCCATGATTTGAACATGAGCCTGCCTGGCCCCCAAATCACTTCTCTTGAGACCTGTGCAGCAATGGGATCAAGGTACGGGTCCAAATCAGATCAGTTCAGAAAGTCACATTTTGTTTTACGTTAACACTCTTTAGAGTCCTTCTTAGAAGCTTGGTTAGTTCAGAAATTTGTCCTAACGTACTTGACAATTGCAGTGGTAACCAGCACCTTATTTTTACCATCATCGTTTTTAAGGCAGATCTCACTCAGCTGGGCTACAGGGCCCAGGTTTTCCATAAGCAACATCAGGCAAGTCCTGGAGAGGAATAGTTTGCTGCGGGTAGTCTGCATATAGACTATGTTATGTTATTTATATTTTGCTCACACTCAAAGGAAATGTTAATTGATTTCTCTACTTTCTGACTTCTCTATGTGGTTTTCCCTTTAGGCAAGTACCTTGCCTAGTTCCATGAAGCTTTTTCTTTTTCTCTGGAGTCCTTTTTTTTTTCATGAGTTTTCTGTATTCTTTTCTTGATTTTTTGTTTGTTTGTTTGTTTCTTCTCTGCTTTTCTTGGTGATTTTTTCTTCTATTACTGTGCTCATGCCAGCTAAATATTCTTCATTTTTCAATAGACAGAATCAAAAGCACATAGAATTTCAGGATTTTAAGGGATCTTAGAGACTAAACAAACTATTCTTTAGTATTTCTCTCTGTGTTGAACGTCTGGGTCAAGTGGTTGTTCAGGTGAAGAACCTGAAACTCACAGAGAGTAAGTGATTTCTTTGGGTACACTTTGTAGCACAAATGAGATTCAAACTCAAATTCCTTAATTCAAAGCCTAGTGCTCTTGTGTATCACCCTGTCGGTGAGTGTTTTAATAATAGAAAAGGGAGAGTGGGTCTAGTGATCCGAATGGAAGAGGATGAGAATGGAATGAGCTGGTGAACCTTAATGGAAGCGGATAAGAGTGGAATTAGCAGGGGAAGGCCAAAGACACTGAGTTGGATAAGAGTAAGGGTTTTAGAAAAGAGATCAGAATAGCGGGCTTTGTGATAAATTAGAGGAATGAAAAACACAGGACGTTGGGAGTTAGCAAGAAAGACATGTTAAGTAAGTTAAAGTAGTGAGTTTAAGAGAGTCCTAAACAGGTTGCTGCTTTTTTGGTTCTCTAACTGGAAAAACTGACAGATATCAAAGTTTTGTTTGTTTGTCTGTTTGGAAAGATGTTAAGAGAATTTGAGCCACTGGGAAGAGTCTTAGAGCATATAGAAATGTGTATCATCTTCCACCCCAACTTACAGAGGGGTAGCTTGGAGCCCATCGAGTGCTAGGGTACTGGAGGTTGCTGAACTGCATGGATCTGTGGTCCAGGCCAGGCATCCCCTTTTCTCTGCCACTTTTCCCTGCCACTTTTCCCAATTAACTAATGTTCTTCTCATATCTGTGTAGGCTTAAGGCTTAAGGCTGGCAAATCAGTCATGGAGCTTCAGTGGGGTAGTTGTTCATATGCCTATGCTGGAGGTGGATGATTGAAACTTCATTTAGCTTACTTTCCAGGAACAGGGAAACAGAGAGCTCCTACCCTTGATTATTTGAGTTCATTCTTTTAGGAAGCTGTGCTTTCCTAGGGTGAAGATTTAAAGTTTGGAGACTGCCATGGAGCCCTGCAGAAGAAGGATCTGGAAGTGGGAGCCCATGGGAAGGAAGATATTTAGATATAGTACTTAGGGAAATAGAGGTACAACTACCAGGACTCAGTTATATCAGCTAAACCCATGTATACCTAGTATTCCATTATTGAAATGCTAAGCCTGTGACAATTATTTATAGCTTACCACTCAAGGCCATTGCCAAGGTCTGATTTTTTCAAATTCCAAAAATTGCAACCTAAGGCATGATTGGGTTAATTGAGCTTTCAGTCCAGCCTTCAGGACAAATTACTGTGGGTCTCTGCCAGTGTATCGGCTGACACTGTTTGCTATGGAAGTAAGACTGGGTAGGCATTGGATATCTCCTAGGTTTGGGCCGGGCGCGGTGGCTCACACCTGTAATCCCAGCACTTTGGGAGGCCTAGGCGGGCAGATCATGAGGTCAAGAGATTGAGACCATCCTGGCCAACACGGTGAAACCCCGTCTCCACTAAAAAAATAAAAATAAAAAAAATTAGCCAAGCGTGGTGGCGGGCTCCTGTAGCCAAGCTTCTCGGGAGGCTGAGGCAGGAGAATGGCGTGAACCCGGCCACTGCAATGCAGCCTGGGCAACAGAAGACAGAGTCCCAAACAAACAAACAAAAAGTTTGGAGAGCTGAAGGCAGAAATAGGTAACAAATATTTTTTAAAACAAAGGTCATGCTTTACTTACACCAAGATATATTATTTGATATATTGATAGCTGACTTTTTCCTAGATTTTGTTTTTCTTTTTTTGTTTTTTGGAGGGGGCATACAGATATAGACTGGGATTTTTGTTTTATTTGTTTGGTAAGTAATGAACCTGCTCATTTTTTTTTTCTTGTATGTTTTTTCTCTATAGGCTTTCCTGCAGACCGGATACTTTTTTAGTGCGTATGCGACTAAAAAAGGATGGTGACTTCAATTTTAAATCCAAGGTAAAGTGGTCTCGTGAAATTAATATTCTCACTCTGAATCTAGTTTTATATAGTATTTACTTTTAAAATTTAACAGTGGTCTACCTTTGTTTTATCTGTGTAATAGAAATTTGGTTAGAGAAAACCATTTTATAGAACTATGACTAAGTACATTTCTTTTTTTTACTTTGGTAAGTAATAGATAACTGGTAAATACTTTGAGGGAATGGGAACTGAAAAAGAGAATGGGCTAGAAACTACATAATGGCAGGAAAATTATATTACAAAAGCTTTCCCACAATAGAGGAGATGTGAAATTTGGTCAAAATTTATTGGAATAAAGATCCTTACTGTGTTAAATCATACTAACGTGACTTTTATACTACTTATTTGTTAAACGAAGCTCAATGGATCCAATTACTTGTTATAGTAATCATGGGGTTTCCCTGTTGCCTGAAGTATATATTTACTTTTTTCTTCTTGGACGTTTGTTATTTTTTTATTATACAGTTTTTAGCAGAGAGTTTTAAAATAATTTTATCCTTTGTTCTCTAATTAGCCTAAAATAATATTGGAAATTATGAGAATTTATTTATGTGTGAGGTCGTGTGCCTGCAATCCCAGCTATTCAAGAGGCTGGAACAGGAGAATTGCTGGAGCCCAGGAGTTTGAGACCTGGGCAACGTAACAAGACTCCATATCTAATTTTTTTTTAATTGTGAAAGACTCGAAATTTAAATTCTTCCTCAAAACCTATATTACAAAGGGATTCCACTATATTTTCTAAGTCACTAAGAGTCTATTTTAAAGCCTTACTCTAACTGAAGAATACATGTTTTGTTCAAAATAACAACTTACAGAAGCAAGCAGAGACTTTAGTATTCATATGGTAAGACTTTAATTTCAGAAGGTTTTTGTAAGTGTAATTTTCAGAAATACCTACCCAGAATTCTTGCATCTCATTCTAAAATTTTAAATCTCAGACTTTTCTATTTAGTTATTTAAATAATAATTGCAAAGCTACTATATTACTATGAGCTATGGGAGTGGAGGTTAGGAAACATATTTTTGTGTATTTGGAGTACCTATAATTGTGACTTGTGTGTAAGAAGTATTTTAATAGTTTTCAATATGAATAAATGAACACAAATGAGTTTCTATATAATGGAACGCTATAAGTAATATAATACACATGATATGTTCTAATAATTAAATCTCTCATTTCTAAACTATGGCTTCAATTTATATTCCCTTTTATTTATTTATTTATTTTTTCTGAGACAGAGGATTGCTCTGTCACCAGGCTGGCGTGATCTCAGCTCACTACAACCTCCCGCCTCCTAGGTTCAAGCGATTCTCATGTCTCAGACTCTCTAGGAGCTGTAATTACAGGTGCCCATCACCACACCTGACTAATTTTTTTTTTTTTTTTTAGTGGATACAGGGGTTTTGCCATGTTGGCCAGGCTGGTCGTGAACTTCTGACCTCAAATGATCAAGCCACCTTGGCCTCCCAAAGTGCTGGGATTACAGGCATGAGCCCCTATGCCTGGCCTCTTGTAATGTTTAAGATATATAAGTTCAGATGAGTTGTGTTGAGAAAACATGTCAAAATAAGAAGGAAAGAAATTAGAAATATGTCTTAAGTAGGAAAGATAGATTCAGTATAGTTTCTAATATTCTTCAAGTGGAAGGTTAGGTTTCGATTTTAGGATACAATTTCTTAAACTTTTTAAAGCCCCAACTCATGTTCTATTAAATACATATTTTCTAGCCACACATTACTCTTAAAAATTCTGCTTGCTTATTCTTTCTCCAGGTGGAAAGTTGATGAAATATTTCTTTTTCTATTTTTCTGTCTCTGGGGTAACAGTGTTCCAGCTTTCAGGTAGTGATAGATGTATTTTAGTTTAATAAAATTAACTCTTTTATTAGACAAGTTTTTACAAAAAGCTTATTGTAGAGCAAATTCTAATAAGTGTCACTACAGGGATCCATTATGAACACAAGTTTTTGTTATGTGTCTGGATTTCTCCACATACATTATTGTGCTTAAAATTATTTCTTTCCTTGGCTTAAGCTCATGCTTGATTAACTGGCTGTGTCTCTTTTTTGTTTTGATGTTTCTTTGTCCCGCCTCTCCTTTTAAAAATGATTTACCTCAGCCTTTTCCCTTGCACAACACGTTTTAGTGTCTGTTCTTTTATTACACTTCTGTCTCTGTTGTCAGCGTATTTAGTGACAGCTTCCTCTTTAGTAGCTGTGTGTGGATTTCAGTCATCAGTCATTGCCCTACAAGCTTTATTCTTGTTTTTTTTTTCTCTCTCTCTGTCTCGGAAGGAACTGAATTAATATGATAATTTGTTTCAGCTTTTTTATAAACAGCATAGAAGTTGCTTGTACTGTTTGCAGTGCCTACCCATTTAAATCAGATACCACTAAAAACTAAGTTCTCACATTTTCCCCATAAGATGGAATTTATGAAAATACACAAAATATTATCACATATTTAATTTATATTTTCGAATATATGCATTTTTTCAGTAATACTCAAAACTCCCTATGGGTAAGCTTTCTTCTAGGTTATTTTGGTTAAGAAAATAATCGATACAGTATTTGTCTAATAATGAACTAGGGGCAAAAGAGTAACGTTTTGAGGATATCTGTATCATCTCTCATAATCCTCACCCCATGAGCATGTAGATTAGTAAATGGCAGATTTAAGGTTTGAATCTATTAATACATCTGAGTGACTCTAAGACCTGTATTCTTTGTGTTAGATCATGTAGTACTGGTGAATATTGTGTTATTAAACGTGATACATGTTATTCTCTTAAAGCTATTGTTTTCTTTGTAGAATGTTCCAGAACAACACTTAATGAAGCGAAGAACTATTTCTCAACAACCAACAAGGACTATTTCTCAACAAGCAATCTTCTCTACAAGGAAGAATCGTAAGCTATCTGAAGACTGCCTATTCTTGTGTTATTCACTGACAGTTAATTACACATTTTTTATATACTCTTTGCTTTAACTATAGTGAAAACGACATATGGTACTGTGAGAACAGGAAATATAACTTTGCTTGAGGGCAGCAGTTCTGACAGCGAAAATGAAGATGGGGTTAAAATCCATCCTGAAATCATCAATAGTCAGCCTCGTCGACCTACACACCCTGGTCTGAAACCTTCCCTCAATCCTATAGTGAACCCTGGTGTTACAAAGGTAGATTGGTTTTTTTTGAAATCTTTCCCCTCCCCATGCTTTTTCACATACATCCCCTCAATCTTAATAATGATGACAGAGATCCTAGAAAGAAATATAAGCCCTCAAGATGATAACAGAAAACAAGTCTTACCAGAGAGATAGATGCATGGGTTTGAGATTTATGAAAAATGGTGGGAATAAACAGTTCTTAGGTTTGCCTTTATGGAAGGAAAGAAGTAGAAAGCAACCATAAAGAACAGCTCAGTATGTGCTGTGCACATTGGCTTATGCCAGTAATCCTAACACTTTGGGAGGCCGAGGCAGGCAGATCACCTGAGCTCAGGAGTTCGAGACCAGCCTGGGCAACATGGTGAAACCCCGTCTTAACTGATACACAAAAAATTAGCCAGACGTGATGGCGCATGCCTGTAGTCTCAGCTACTCAGGAGGCTGAGGCATGAGAATTGCCTGAACCCAGGAGGTGGAAGTTGTAGTGAGCCAAGACCATGCTACTGCACTCCAGCCTGGGTGACTGTGTGAGAATTTGTCTCCAAAAAAACAAGAATTAAATCTTTCCATGCAATTCAAAAATGCATATTGCCATAACATTCCAGAAATAAGTGTCTGCATAGATTAAGGAATATTTTGTACTCTTGAAACAAATGTGGAAATATATAATTGAAAAGTAGAATTCCATGTTTTTCCCTCATGTTTTTATTTTCAAAAGTTCAGAGTTCTATATAGGTTTGCATTATTTAATTCTACTAGTTTAGTATATTTGTAAAATATTTGTCTTATCAACACTGTGTCCTTTTCCTGAGTAAGGCCATCTACTTCATTTCCAAATGTATTTATCCCTATCTGTCTTGTAACTTTCCTGGGTGCCTCAAATTTGGTAGGTCCTAAACTGAACACATTGTTCGTGATTCTTTCCTGACTTCTGGCCCTTTGTAATCTACTCTGTCATCTGGCTTCCCCCTCCTAGTACGTAACACCTGGTAAATAGCACTGAAACATTGAAAGAGGAAAAATGCTGCACTCCAGGTCTCACATCACCAATGCATTCTCTTACCAAGTTCTGTATTTTTACCTACTTCCCACTTTTCATATCTTATTACTGTAGTTCACATTGTGACCTATAATTCTAGAATACTCTTTTATAGTTGGGCCCCTGCCTCACCATGTTCACTCCTTTTTACATTGCTGCCAGGGTAACCTTCCCGAAATATATTTGTAATGATCTAACTCTTCTGCTCATTGAGTGGATTCCGATTGCATGAAGGGGGAATTTTACATTCCAGCATGACACATATCTTTTGTAGTTTGGCCTGATTGTCCTGTTTTCTCTCTCCATCCCATTCCCTCTGACTGCATGCCAGTTTTACTTTAATGCCTCTCATTTGCCATGTGGTTTCATGTCCCATCCTTCTACGCATGCTACCTTGCCTAGAAACCCCTTATACCCTCACTCTTTACTTTGTCTGTCTTTTAAAATATGGCCCTGACTTTGCAGCATTTACAGAGCTTTCCAAGTAGAACTGACTCTTCTGTCTTTAAGCCCTCACCATATTTTATTCATTTTAATTGAAGACCTAGTGTTACATGTTTCTGTTCTTGTTTCTTTTGATATATCCCCACTTGAATAGAGGGTGGAATCTGTCTTTTGTTTATATTTTTGGCTTCTCTCAGGATATGCCATGATTTTATACGCACAGTGAATTAAGAAATACAATGTTTTGTAAAGTTGTTTTTTTGTTTGTTTGTTTTTTAATAGGAGGAAGCAACAAAACCATCAACTGGAAAAAACAAAAATGGTATTATTTAAAGTGCCCCACGAGAGCAAACAAATTGTAATAATTTTATTTTTTTGTGTATAAAAATTAGAGGTGGTAAGTTAGTGAATATCTCTGAAAAAAAGTATTTAATGGTATTACTTAAAAAAAAGGAAACCAAGTGTGGCAGATCATGCCTATAGTCCCAGTACTTTGGGAGGTCAAAGTAGGCAGATCACTTGAGCCCAGGAGTTTGAGACTTGCCTGGGCACCATGGCAAAACCTGGTCTCTTCTTAAAAAAAAAAAAAAAAACTACAAAAATTAGCTGAGTGTGGTAGTACAGGCCTGTAGTCCCAACTACTTGGGAGGCTGAGGTGAAGGATCACTTGAGCTGAGGAGGTTGAGGCTACAGTGATCTGTGATCACATCATTGCATTCCATTCGTGGTGACACAGCAAGACCCTGTCAAAAAAAAAAAAAAAATCACAGAACCAAATATAATATGTTTATTTTTTTGCTATTTTTCCGATACTACAAACTCCTTTTTCCTGAAACTACATCAAACCTGAAGTTACTTTTTCTTATTATTTTTATTTTATTTAAATACTCATGAATGGAGATAGACTTTGTTATATGTATTTGAAATTTACAGTAACTCATAGTCTCATGAATGTGTCTGTGAATAACATTTTATAGATACGTCATCATCAGGATCGGAAGAGGAAGATACAGGATCATCCCGTAGTTCTAAGGTACTGTCTACTGTCATAAATATCAAGTGATGTTAAGTCATAAAATAGGATGCTTGAGCTTTAATTTCTCACCTGTGCGTATGCCCATAAAGGAATTATTTTCTCACATTTCAGTGTATGATGAATACAATAATTATGTGCTAAGTAGATTACTGCTGCATAGTACAATTCTGCTAATTTGCAGGATCCATTTAAGAAGCCAACATAGTATAATGAAAAAGAAAATACAGGGAATCACTTCAGGTTCTGAAGATAAGTTTGTCTAAAAACTAAAGAATTATTCCAGGTCAACCTAGGAGCAAATGTACAATTCTATGGCATATCTGGATGTGTAAATATCCTAATGAGATGCAGAGATAAAGAGTTTAAGCTGTAAGGATTTTTTTTAGAACTTGGAACTTGAAACGATAGTGCCTAGGACTTGAAAGTATTGTAATGTTTGGATCATCAGTGTAGATCTGCAAGGAACATTTTATGAGAAGGAAAAGCATGGGAAATAGTCTACGTGTGGAAGTATAAAAACAACAATTTGGTTTAATAGTGTTTTAATTCTTTTTAACAGTAGAATGCTTTGAGTTTCTTTGTGGCAGTCATGCTTGTAGTAACATAAGTAAAAAATAATAATGATGTATTCCAAGGCCACAGCTGTGGAAAGAGATGGGAACGGCCTGACCTCTTAGGTAGAAGCAGCTGGTGCATAGTGGTACCAGCACTGAGTGGAAGTCAAAAGATAGGTTGGTGTCCTGGTCCTGTCACTTACTAGCTATGGAACCTTGGGAAAAATTATTTAACTTATTTGAATATCAGTACCCTTTTTCATAAAGATGGTACTGATATCTAGCTCTTAGGTATATGTAATGAACAAATGTGGCAAGAAATGTGAAAACATTTTGTAAACTGGAATATGTGTATGCAAATATGGGACAAAATGAATCACAGTGGGATTCAGTGCCTTAATACATACTGCGAGTCTTTTTTTTTTTAACCTTTAGCGAGTACTGTCAAGTAGCCAGTACTGACAGGAGAACAATGAGAAAGTAGAGCATAGGTATGTGGATTTCCAGACTGGAGTAGGGTAAGTTTTAGTGGTCTATTACTGGTGATATCGTACGGGAATAGGGTGATTTAGCGCCCAGGACCTCCTAATAAGATTTTAAATGTTTTGACCTCAAATAAATTTCTGTCATTGTGTACGGACTGTGTGCTAGGCAATAAGACAATGAATACACAGGATGAGGGCTTATCCTAGAGTAGTAGGAACACAAAAACAAGGAAACAACAAACACATAAGTCACTACAAGTGCTTCCTATAAAGAAAACAGAAAATGTTCAATTACAGAAAATTGAGGAAATCTGTAGTTAGGATTGGGGTGGGAGTGGGAGTAGAATTGTGTAGTCAGAGAAGATCTTTCTGTGTGCCATTTAAGCTGCCATCTAGAGGCTGAGAAAAACCAAGCCCCCTGAAAGTCTGAAAGGGGAGGATATTGTGAACAGAGAGAAAAATGGATAACAATTGTTCATTTTGCTTTAAACATCCTCGAATGACCAGAAAGCAGGGAATGGGGTAACCATCATCATCATCATTTGCAATGTGTAGAAAAGAAAATGTGCAAATGAGAATCTGGAACATTTTAGATGCTTTGTGAATAAATGTTCTTATTCTTCCCTTTTTATTAAGGCTTGCTCTAGTTTTTGAAGTTATTTCTTAATTGGAAAAGAGTGGCAGAATATATCTTGCTTGCATTTATTTAAACATAAACAGAAGTTTTTCTTACTACTTTGTAATTTTATTCAACCATTTTTTTATCAGTAAAAATTTTATCAAGAAATACTTTAATTTTTTCAAGCCCTTGTTTACCTAAATGAAGTAGTTTCATCAGTGTTCTTTTACAACATGGAGTACTCCAAAGTTTCTTATCATGCCAGTTATCTTCTTTTAATAATAAAAAATTCTATAATTGGGAATAAATTAAATGTTAAGTGCCCTAATGTAGCAAATTTATTTTTGTAGTGCCCTCTTAGTTTTGATGGAGATTGCAAATTAGAGTTAGGTCTTCTGAAGTAAGTGTCTTGTTGAAATATGCACCTAAGTTAATACTTCGTCTGTAAATAGGTTTCCTTTTGCCTTCCATACTCAGTTTTACAGAGTCAATAACCTAATGAAGATAAAAAATAAGCTCCATCTAAACAGTGTATGTGAGGTTCTCTATTGAAATGTTTTGGTTTTCAGGCTGGGCACAGTGGCTTATGCCTGGAATCCCAGCACTTTTGGAGTCCGATGCGGGTGGATCACCTGAGGTCAGGAGTTCGAGACCAGCCTAGCCAACACTGTGAAACCCCATCTTTAATAAAAATAAAAAAGTTAGCTGGGCCTGGTGGCGTGCGCCTGTAATCCCAGCTCCACAGGAGGCTGAGGCAGGAGAATCGCTTGGACCCAGGAATGGGAGGTTGCAGTCAGCCAAGATCGTGCCATTACACTCCAGCTTTGGCTCTCAAAACAAAAAAAAGAAATGTTTTGGTTTTCAATACCAACTTCTCTTATTTTTAAGTCTAACTGCTTTTAATATAAGACATTTGAATTTTTTTTTTTTTTTTTTTTTTTTTGAGACGGAGTCTCGCTCTGTCACCCAGGCTGGAGTGCAGTGGCCGGATCTCAGCTCACTGCAAGCTCCGCCTCCCGGGTTCATGCCATTTTCCTGCCTCAGCCTCCCTAGTAGCTGGGACTACAGGCGCCCGCCACCTTGCCCGGCTATTTTTTTGTATTTTTTAGTAGAGACGGGGTTTCACCATGTTAGCCAGGATGGTCTCGATCTCCTGACCTCGTGATCCGCCCGTCTCGGCCGCCCAAAGTGCTGGGATTACAGTCTTGAGCCACCGCGCCCGGCGACATTTGGATTTTTAAAATGAGTGATTAGGACATTTTTGTGCAACTATTGTTATTTTATATTGAAACTCATTGTTGATATTAATTTTAACAGAGTATCTCCAAGAATCTTCTCCAGAAGCATGGTGGTCATTCATCTGGGGCTGCTGATCAGCAGAGGAAAAATGCAGTAAATGGAAATGTAGATGGTATTGTGTATTTTTTTTTAAAAATGCATTTCACATAATATTTACTTGAAAACACCATCACTTATGTATTACAACAAGCAAAGGAAGGTCACTTACTAAATGCACAGTAAGAAAAAAGAAAAGTGAAAAGGTGATACATTTTATATATTAACAGAAATCCACAGGAGAGTAAATTGAGAGTGCCACTAAAGGAGCTGAATTAATAGCTGCATTTCAAGGTATTCTAAGATCTGAGGAAAGTCAGGAAGTAAGAAGAAAGGAGAGAAGAGGGAATGAAGAATGAGAAAGGCAGTGAGTGCAGGGGTAAATGAAGGAAAAAGAAGGTACATAGAACATGGCAAAACAGAATAATTCCTTAAAAAAAGGAAGAAAAGGGGGCTGGGCACGGTGGCTCACGCCTGTAATCCCAGCATTTTTGGAGGCCCAGGCAAGAGAATGGCATGAACCCGAGAGGCGGAGCTTGCAATGAGCATTCCAGTCGGGGCTACAGCGCGAGACTCCGTCTCAAGAAAAAGGAAGAAAAGGGTTTTAGAAAAGTGGCAAGAAGATATAGTGGGCTTCTAGCACCAAAACTTGTCGGAGTATTGGAGCAAAATTTTTAATTCTTCCTGTCTTCCTCATTGATGGAAGAACCTGACCAGGCAGTTCTATGTTTTATCTACCATAAGTGAATATAAGCATGTGTGGTCATCTATGCATGTATACAATTTAAAGTCATATACAGTGAGTGTAGAACAGAACTTCTCACACTTCAATATATCATCTGGGGGCCTTGTTAAAATGCATATTCTGATTCAGCAGGCCTGGGATTCTGCATTTCTATTAAGTTCTCAGGCGATGCTGACGCTGCTGATCCTCGAGCCACACTCTGAGTCTTATAGACTTTTTTCCTATATAGGAATTGGAAAGGAGCCACTGGGGAGCAGTTAAGACATAACAGGCTCAGAGGACAGCATGATTTTGCTTTTATTTCAGATCATGTTTCTAGCCAGAGGGGAAGTAGAAAGAGGTGAAGAAATAGAAATTATAGATGTAAGATACTATTGCTAAAACAAGAGCAGAGATGTGGTGGTAGTAATCCATAAAAAATGTGGAGTGGGAAGAATCATGACTGCAGATGTAAAAATCTTTCACAAAGTAGATAGATTGTGAGCACGGACAGAGGGGAAAGAAAGAAGTGAGCTGGTAATTTTGAAGTTTCTAATGAGAAAACGTATATCCATCCATGCCATTGCAAATGACAGGATCTCATTCTTTTTTATGACTGGACTGTATTCCATTGTGTATATGTACATTTTCTTTGTCCATTTGTTGGTGTACAAATAGGTTGATTTTACATTTTGGCTATTGTGAAGAGTGCTGCAACAAACATGAGAAGGCAGATATCTCTTCAATTTACTGATTCCCTTGCTTTTTAAGTATATACCTAGCAATGGGATTGCTGGGATCATATGGTAGTTCTATTTTTAGTTTTGGGTTTTTTTTTTTTTTTTTTTAAGATGCCAAAATAAAAAGCCTCCTGGTCTCAGATAATCCTCGCACATCAGCCTCCCAAGTAGCTGGGACCACAGGTGCATGCCACCATGCCTGGCTAATTGTTTTCATTTTTGGTAGAGACAGAGTTTCACCCTATTGGCCAGGCTCGTCTCAAACTCCTGAGCTCAAGCAATCCTCTTACCTTGACCTCCCACAGTGCTGGAATTACAGGCAAAAGCCCCACATCTGGCCTACTTTTAGTTTTTTGAGGACTCTCCATAGCATTCTCCGTAGTGGCTGTAGTAATTTACATGCCCACAATGTAGGAGGGTTCCTCGTCGTCCACATCCTCATCAGCACTCATTATACCCTGTCATTTGGATAAAAGCCATTTTAACTGGGGTGGTGAGATCATCTGTCACTGTTTTGATTTGGATTTCTCTGGTGATCAGTGCTGTTGAGCGCTCAACCATATACCTGTTTGCCCGTGGATTGCTGTTGGATAGCAGTTCAAGACATAAAAGGGCCAAGGGAAAGTGTTGTATTGCTTTTATTTCTGAATATGTTTCCAGCCAGAGGGTAAAATTATGAAATAGAAATTATTGATGTGAGATCCTACTGCTTAATGAAGAGGAAAGAAGTGGGCATAATCCATGAGAGGTATATGCAAGAAGAAGAAAGACCACACATTGGGAGACTTTTCCAAAGACATGGGGACTGTGAAGTGGGAATGAGGGAGGAAATAAATAAGCTATCTCCGTAGTTTTGGAGTTAGTGATGAGGACCCTTGAGAGAACTTAATTCAGACGGCTTCAGTATGTTTGCACTCAGGACATTAGATTATTACTGCCCTTGAAATTATTGGAAGGAGGAGGGAGTGCAGTAATTGGGGTAAACCATAGCAACTCATTGCTGTACTTTATATCACACATCAAAGATACAAGTTAAATTTATATTAGATAATCAAATGAAACTCATTTGAACTAAAGAACTTTTACTGCTTTTGTTAAGAAAGCTATTTTTTTTATTAAGAAAGCTATTTTTTTTTATTAGATAGCTGTTCCATAAAAGTACTTGAGAGACTAGGATAGTATACCCAATCACAGTAGTTTCAGAAACAAAAAAAGTACAGGATTTATTCCTCGAATAACAAAACTAATGTTTTTAGTAAACATTGTACTGATTTTGAAATATAAAAGCTTAATACAATGAATGTGAAATTTTTATTTTTTGCAATAAATATTTACACATTGAAAGTTGCTCACACATTATTTTGTGATGTGTTTTATATACCATCTTGCATGAGTGGATCAAGAAACTTTAAGACAGGGCAAACCACACAATACAATCAATTTACACATAGCAGTATCTCACCTTGTAATTTAAAAAGATGTATATTCATATTAACTTATTCTACAACTATCTGAGCTGATTAATTCGGAACAGTTTATCTGATGAGAATTGAATATGTTCAGCTTATCTTTCATCACAACTGTGTAATTCCTCAGTTACAAGACAAATAGTTGAATATGATGGATACTTGTAGGATAATGGTATAAATGAATCTGATGTGTTGCAGTAACGATGCGCCACACCACTCTCCCATTATCTTTGACATTTATCCTTTCAGGGTCATGATTGCTATTCTTATTGAAGATCTTTTTTTTTTTCTTGTCATTGGAGTATGTGCACTTTTGTAATTTAGTTATAGTCTGTTGAAATATAACCTCGCTTTTGACACCTTAACTGCGTGTCTTATGAAATTTACATTATATAAAACTTTTATCTAGGGAAAGATAGAATCAGGGAAGACATCACATAGGTGTGTTAATCTTATAAGATGAATAGAAATTTGTCAGAATAGTGGAGGAAAACATTTCAGATACAAAAGAACGGAGTGTACACTGATGAAGGGGTAAAGAGAAAGTCATATTGGAAATTATTAGTACTAAATAACAGGCTTAGTGTATTGTTACAAAGATACTATTATAAAGTAAAGGAAAATATACAGTATTACTTTATCTGTTTCTTTTGGATTTTTAATTTTTTTGTTTCTGGTGGTTTTGTTCACTGATGATGGGTGAATAAAATTGTGAGTGAATCTATGAGATTAATGTATGGCTTGACTCTGGTAACATCTAGTGTCTTCCCAAGTGGTTTGTTGAAGTTTTGGAGAATTAGAAGTATTTTTTAAAGAAGCAGATACCCCACTAGAGAGTAAGCTTTATTTAAACTCTCATTTTATAAAAGAAAAATATGTTTTTATTCATGTTTATAAAGACTATAACTTTTATCTAACTGTTCTAAGTAATTCATTTTAATGAAATATATGGATTTTTGAGCAGAACAAGACTTAAAATTGATATCAGAGAGAGAGCAAGACAGGCTTCAAGGATGTGAAAGTAACCAGCCACAGGTTTGTAAAAATTTAATTTCAAATTTCTGGTTTTCTTTGCTTTGGTAACATAGTTTAAATGAAATTACCTTTGGACTTGCCTTTTAGAATCAGTTGATTATAATTTAATATTTAATTTAAAAACATTTTAATTGGTTATAAAACTGAAAATATTTTCAGAATCTATACTGATTTACAGCTAATCTTTTCTCTTGAAAATGAAGCCAAAAGTTCCTAAATATTGTTTGCTGTTCATTTTTTTTTCTTCTTCTTCTTTTTTTTTTTTGAGATGGAGTCTTGCTCAGTCTCCCAGGCTGGAGTGCAGTGAGTGGCACGATCTCGGCTCACTGCAAGCTCCGCCTCCTGGGTTCACGCCATTCTCCTGCCTCAGCCTCCCAAGTAGCTGGGACTACAGGCGCCCACCACTACGCCCGGCTATTTTTTTTTTTGTATTTTTAGTAGAGACGGGGTTTCACTGTGTTAGCCAGGATGGTCTTGATCTCCTGACCTTGTGATCCGCCCATCTCGGCCTCCCAAAGTGCTGGGATTACAGGCGTGAGCCACCGCACCCGGCCTGCTGTTCATTTTTATAACATCCTAATATAATAAGGTAACATCAAATAATGAATTATAATTTTAAGCAGTCAAAATTATGAACAATTTAACAGTGATGGCTGCTGACTTGGGTTCATGTTAAAGGAGTAATAATTGCTAATGGTTCAAAATTTGCAACTTTATATATTACTGGTCACTAATACTATGATTAAAAATGTATTCTCCATTGTAAATTTTAATTGACTTTAGTATCTGTGTTCAGGGAGAGAATGGGGTCATAAAGTCAACCCAACTGCCTGTCACGAGAACCGGACTTGCAGAATGGGAGCTTTGGTGTGAGGGTACAAACAGTAACTTTCTAACTTATTTCATAGAGCAAATCTGTAACTATTGTTAAAATTTTTTTAAACTACTGTCATTAGTGGACTTTAGAATATACTGAAACTTGACTTAAGACTATAGTCTATATAGAATCCTACGTAACACTATCGTATTACGATTTATAGTTTGAATTAAATTTTATGCATTTGGCTTTGTTTCTGATTAGTGTTGATTTTGATTTCTGTTAAAAGTTTGCCTACTCATCAGTTAGTAATCTTTGGAAAAAAGCACTCAAGTGTGCACTGTTTGTTGAGTATCACTATTTCAGGTACACTGAGATAAAATTTTCTTAAGTGAAGATGCCTTTGTAATAGTGCAAATCACCTTTTAATTCATTTTTGGTAAATTAAACACATAATGAATTAATCTTAGTCCAAACAAACAGTTACAAAGTTAAGATTGATGGTTGATATTTTTCCCCTATTTTAGGCTAATGTAAATTAGTTTTAACTAATTACAGTCCAGTGATTGGGAGTAGATAAACATAGAATACGTAGTTTAACAGTTAAAGTTTTATTATTTTTTAATTTTATTTTTCCATACTTGATTATTTAATGACAAAGTTATCTTTAAAACATGCACCCTGACAAAAAAGACATCTGACAAACAAAACTAGCAAATTAATCTTCCACTTTTGCATCTGCAAAAATGTCTCAACAAACCGAAGTGAACAAGTACTGTAATAGAGAGCATACATCTCTATATGCAGGACTCCTTTGTGTGCAAAAATAGGAGAAAATGTGGATCAAACAAGGCAAATGAGGGTGGAAAAAACTTTAAAACTCATCACAATTAAGTTAAAGCAGAGATTGAGTAAAATTTGTGAAGAATCCAAAACTTTGGATTGTTCAGAGGAAGAGCCACTACAGGAAGAAAGAAATATAAAGAACATACCCTCTAATTTGAAAAATAATATACGTGATTGTCAGGAAGGAATGCATCTGGAATATTCCTATGTGTAGTATTCCAGATATTTTCTGAACAAAAATAGTTCAGTCTCATAAATGTCTTTCCATTTCATTTCTATGCTGGGTCCCTGGAATATGCTTGCCAGTCACCTTCTGATTTTTATTTTAAAAATGAAAATAAGTAACAAACCAGACACTATACATGTTTTTAACACAGAGCAGTAGAATTTTTATAATGACACAGAAAATACAAAAGCAAGGAACCCAGAAGTAGTTATCATTGAAATAAAAGAAGACCAAGAGTGTTATAGGCACATGATGAAAACAACACTAATTGCAAATTGGACATCAGAAATGTGCTGCCTCAGTGTAGTGATCCAAAAAGCCTTTTAGATTTGTGACTTACCTCCTCCAGAGAGATGAAGCATGTGAGTAAACAAAACGGCATGGTGTTTCTATTGTTACAGAAACTTGTTCCAGAAACCATTATATCATAATTGCAGTGCAAGTAACTATAAAAGAATAGAACTGTATTAGAAAATGTGCATTCCTCTCCACCACATAGTGACAGAACATCAAAAGTACGTTGAGAAGAATAGTTACAGCACAGTATACAAAGACTGAAGAATGAAGTAGGCATATTAAAACTAGAGTTCCTGACTTCGAAGAAAGAAAAAGTTCAACTTGAGAAAGACTTAGAGGGTCACTTGCTGCTACGTGGTTTTTTCTCTTGATCAATTATTTGGTGCATTCTACTTTTTTACTTATGAAAAGCTCTTGTGTAAATTGGGGCTACTAAATACATAATTTTCTGTGGAAATAGATTGTTTTTCTATCTAAATGTTAGAAGTTCAGGAAAACATTCTATAGTCTTTGTTTCTTAATCAACCCAAGTCTATCTATCAGTTTTTTAAGTGGCATTGGGACTGGGAAATTAATCTATCCATGCACCATGGATATGGATACTTCTGAAGTAGAGTAAGCATATAGGAAATTGCTTAAAGAATGTAATAAGCTCTAGGACCTAATTTTTCCCTATAGTCTTGAGGATGAATTGCACTTACTTAATAAAGTGGGAAATCAGTGGGAAGGAAGCGTAATGACTGAGAAATGATATAAAAATCTACCTATCCATGAGAGTTGGAACAAATATTCATAGTCAAAGATGTATGTTGTATGTTGTGCTTTCAGGTGTGCAAGTTGATTCATTTAACTAATTATGTTGGGGCTTATAATTTCACCATGAACTCCTTAAATACGTTTGAAAACAAATATATATAGATACCTCCATCTATTTTTGTTTTTTCTTTTCTTTTTCTTTTTTTTTTTTTTTTTTTTTTTTGAGACAGAGTCTCCCTCTGTCGCCCGGGCTGGAGTGCAGTGGCATGATCTTGGCTCACTGCAAGCTCCGCCTCCCGGGCTCACGCCATTCTCCTGCCTCAGCCTCCCGAGTAGCTGGGACTACAGGTGCCCGTCACCACGCCTGACTAATTTTTTGTATTTTTAGTAGAGACGGGGTTTCACTGTGTTAGCAAGGATGGTCTCAATCTCCTGACCTTGTGACCTGCCCGTCTCAGCCTCCCAAAGTGCTGGGGTTACAGGTGTAAGCCACCGCACCTGGCCACCTCCCTCCATCTATTTTTCTAATCACCACTTTTACATGTTTCTGTCGAATCAGATCTTAATGTGATTTTGTTTAATAGAGTATGATAAATTTTAGCATGATAACTTTATCATATAAATACCATAGATTCTCAGCCAAGAATTTAGTTTTTGACTCCAAAGTAGAAACCTGGTTTCTGTACATCAAGTTTTAAAGATAGACAAAAATCTGGTGATACCCACCTTTAAAAGTAAAAGTAGATGAGGTCTCTCAGCCCCTGGTGAAGCATTAAGTTACTTTCCCAGAGTGATACTTTTAATTCTTCTGATAAATTTGATGAATTTATCAGATAATTTATCTGACTCGGCATTATGAAATAGCATTATTGGTTTTTGTGCCCCAAAATGCTAGGAAATGCCACTTTAGGAGCTTTGGATGAGTCATTTAATCTTTTTTGATGACAGGGCTAAAGGAGATAATTACACTGTCTGTTCTCCAGCTATGAAATGTCATGGTTACTGAATGTGAAATTTGGAAAGCATCTTATTTTCCAGAACTCTACTAGCATCTCAGCAGTTTCACTCTGCTGCTTCTGTGGTTTCGAATTTTGGTTCCTGCATTTCAGCAGGCACCTTCACATTTTTGAAGTCCTAGGATCCGAATGAATAAAGAAAGATTAAAGACAGTGGGGAAAGCTTACCCAGAGAGGGAAAAGCTTCCTTTGTGTTCCTGAAGCCCCACAATGTCACATTCTCTAAATCTGGCCATTCAGTGTAAACTCCAGGAGGTAAAAATAGAAGAGGACAGATTTCATGCCTTTCTCCTTTTGTTTCTCTATTTCTGCTCGTCACAAAATGGTGAAAATTTATATTAGCAAAGAGTGGATGGGAATAAAAGCACAAATTTGGAATGGACCCTTTTTGAAAGTTTGGAAAATTTTGTTGTATTCACTCAAACAGAAATGAATTAGACTTTATATGAATTTCAATGGAAAAATTATAACTTATGCTAATAATTATATAACGATAAAATGGAAGTCCAAAATATTTTAATGACTATTATCATGACAGACTGAGTCAAGTGACAAAATGAATGAACAGTTTATTCCCTTGGATGAAATAATGACATTTATTCTCAGTGTCACACTTTCATTGAAGGTTGCAGAAAAAATGAGAAAGTGCAGAAATAAGAAAATGGAAGTGTCAAGAAACCTACATGCTGATGACAGTGACAGTGATGATGATGATGATGAATTAATTCAAGAAAGAAGGGGCAGAAAATCTGATAATCATCAATGTCCCAGGCAGAAGAGTGAAGAGTACAATAGGTAAGCCTATAGCACTATTTGATAGTACATTATTGTTATTGTACTATCAAATGAATTCTAATTTCAAATAATATGCATGATTAATGAATTTTATACCTTCACCGGGAATATTCTGTCTTGCGTGGTAATCAGAAAAATGCAAATTAACAAGCAATTAGATACAGTTTTTCCAAGCATATTGGTATTTTATTAAAACATAACTAGTGTGGGCAAATGTGAAAAAAGTTCTCTCATACACTTATTTGGTAAATCTTTATTGAAGGGTAATTTAATAGCATGTATCAAAATTTCAAATATGTCATTCCTTTAATGTGTCAGCTTTACTTCTGAGACTGGATCCTGCAGGAAATATGACTTTACACATACACACAAGTTATGGACATTTATTACATGTTATATATAATATACAATAGGCCAACATATATATTCTGATATATGTATCTGTGTGTGTGTGTATGTGTGTATGTTTTCCTACTGTATGTTACATATATATGTTGGCCTATTGTATGTTATATATATATATGTTGGCTACATGCATATAGATATACATACATGCACGCATATATGTCTTATGTATTTCTATGTGTATGTTTGTAACATGTTTATGAAACATCTTAAGTATAACAAAAGTATGTTAAGGATAGTAATATATATTACATACATATTGAAGATTTTCATTACAGCATTGTCATATCAAAAAGCTGGAGGTAGTCTAAAATCCTATTAATAAGGAAATGGGTAAATTGTGATACCCATTAAATAATGTAGTATGCAAGTCTCTTTTAAAAATGAGATTGGATCTATAATATACTGATTATTTCATCAGTTAAGTATATTTACATTTAGTTTGATAACTTAAGTAAATTTTGTCAGAATATAATGTTGTAATTTCTTAATACTTGTAATATCTATTGAGTTGCAAAAGGAAACTACATGCTACCTTGGCACTTTACATTACCAACAAAATTGCTAGTTACGACATTTGCTTTTTTGTTCTCAATGCATGAGTGCTCAAATATTGAATTCTCACAATAATATGAATATTCCCAAGGGATTGCACATGGGGATCTGTATTCCATGTAAATATTCAGCGTGTTGGTAAAACTTGTTAAACTATATCAAAGGATCTTTGATCTGCCGAGTCAGGAGTTGACCAGTTTTTTCCTGTAAAGAGCCAGATAGTAACTATTTTAGGCTTTCTGGACCAGAAGTTCTCTTTGACATCTTTCACAGACAATAAATGAATAGGTGGCACTGTGTTCCAAAAAAACTTTACTTACAAAAACAGGCAGTGGGCTGAATTTGGCCCACAAGTACTGATTTGCTGACTCCTGTGCCAAACCAGGGTGCTGCTAATGCAGTGAACCTTCTGTTTAGAGGCGCTCTGAATGCCTGCCATTATCCTTTTAAAAGACATTTCAGCATGCACGGCACCATATTTTACCACAGTGACTTCCTATGATATAATTTACAAAAATTCAGTTGACAAAACAAGATTATTTGAATTTTCATCTTTTTTCATCTCATAGAATTTAATATTTTAGTATGACAAACCATTTTGTATATTTGATGAGTGTAAAATATCTCAGAGTTGGGTGATTTTTCTCAGGTAGGAAATACTGCCCTTTAGTCTTTCTGTGGTCTTTATTTATAAGCATGAGCAAAATGATAACCAGCTTTATAATACAGAAACGTTCAAGGGGTTTTTAGTTCTATAATTTTATGATGTTATTTATTACCTTTGTCTGGCTTTTAAAATGCCATATAAATGTAATTTTTAAAAACTATTAAGGTGTTAAAACGCACCATGTAATTAATCCTTAATCATTATGAAAGGATTGAAAAATACAGTTTAACAAGAAGAAAATTAGATCATGCATGATAATGCCACGTGGGCATGATGTCCTTAAAATTAAACTGCTTGTACTCATGGCCTCAAGTTTCCTTTCCATTCACTCTTGAACTCACTGCCATAATTTTCATTCTCACCACTCTCCAGAATTGTTATTCTCAGTGTTGTCACTGATTTTTCACTGTAACACATCTAGATAAAATTTTTTACATCTCGTTTTATGTAACCTACCAACAATACTTTCACTTTCTTCACTGGCTCTCAGAATCTCACTCTCTGGCCTAGATTTTCCTCCTGACTTTCTAGTCCATCCATCTTAGCCTGTTTTGGTTACATCTCCTCGTCTTCTACCTTTCACAGATTAAAGTGACCCAGGACTCAGTTCTTGAGGTTTTTTCTTCTGACTTTCACCAGCTTGTATATGCTAATGATTTTCAAATTTATATCTCCAGCCCATTTCTCTCCTTAATTTCAGACCTATATATCAGCCTGTCTACTTGACATCTCTCCTTGATTAGCTATGGGATATGTCAAATTTATCAGATCCAAAATCTGGTTACTGATGTTCTTCCTCCTGCCTGCCCCTTATGTAGTCTTGTTGTTCCATTAATAACAACTCTTGCAAATGCTCTGCCAAAAACCCTGGTGTCCTCCTTGACTCACACATTCTCTCTGTCTCCCTCCTCCGACCCCCATCTCTGACACTCCACAGCCGAGATGTTGGCAGATCTCATCAGGTCTAACTTCACAATATATCCAGAAGCCAGTCACGTCTTTCATGTCCAAGCCACTCCACTATCATCTGATTGGCCATCTAGAGTAGTGTCATAGACTGCTAATAGGTCTTTCTGTTTCTCCATGTTTAATCCTCTTTTCGTCAATTCTTTACCCAGTGAACCTATTAAAACATGTCACATTATGTCACTCTTTTGGTTAAAAACTTCTAATTGCCTCCCATTTCACTCAAAACATATGCCAGATTTTCTCCTAATACTCCAAAGGAACCACAGGATCTGACTTCTTATTTTCCTGACTTACGCTTCTGCCTTTCTACTCTTCCCACTCTGCTGCAGCCACACGGAACTTCTTTCTATTTTGTGAACACACTCTGCATCCCTCTGTACTGGGCAGTTGACTGTGTATGGAGTTAGATATCCTCCTTGCTTACTCCTTCCATTTCTTCAGTTCTTTCCTTAAAAGCCACTCTCTCAGCAAGGTCTTATCTAGTCATCCTAATATTTTCGCCACCTTGCCCCTCCTGCACATAAACATTCCTTTTTCCTGCTTGAGTTGTTCCTCTCTAACATACTATGTGTTTTGCTTCTGCTGTTAGTTGTTTTGTTTACTTGGCGCTCATGAGTAGGATTTTGTCATCGCTGTGTTTTTCATTGCCTAGGAAGGGACCTAGCATATAGTAAGTAGCAACTCAATAAATGTTTACTGAATGAGTGAATAGAGTTTATTCTGGTGTATAGTTTTAAATGTTAATACTCACTTAAAATACAGTTTGACATGGGTTCATTCTGACAATTTTACCTGGCAATTATATGCCTTTTTTGGATTCTTTGGGCTCTTTTCAATGAGCTATACTCTCTGTATAAATGGTTTTCTAATTCGGGAGCAAACCCCAATATTGTGGTCACTCAGCTTTTCTTATTAGAAATAGATACTATGCTAAAAGTTTCTAATAAAATCATTCTATTTTCAAACAAAATTCTATCTAATCAGAATAATGCCAATTTGAACTATATGTAAAGACATACGGGTATTTTAAAAGTGTTTTCTCCCTTTAAGGTAATTTCACAGTTTCTTTCAGGTTGTATGTAGCTCATGGTATTTTGAAAACTTAATTCAGTGAAACATATTAAAAACTGTGGCACAAATCCAACTATGACCCCATGTCTAAGAGTCATTGCTTGCAGGCAGTGAGCTCCAGCCTTTTAGCGTAGCATTCAAGTTTAGTGTAGCATTCTTCTCTCAGTGTTTACTTTCATGTGTTTTACACTTTACCTTTCAAGTTCCCAGGAAACAACTGGATGCCACGTGCCTAATCCCTGTGCTCACATTCTATTCTCTATGTAGAATGGTTTTCTCCTACTGTTTCTGGTTTTGTTTTGTTTTGTTTGTTTGTTTGTTTGTTTTGGCCTGGTGAGCTCCTCTTGTCTTTTGCCTCTTCCATAAAGTCTTCCTCATGCTCAGATATAATTTTTTCTAGATCAGCTCTTACATATTGCATCGTGTCATAACTAGCTGTTACCTGTTCTGCTTTTTTTTCTGAGACAAAGTCTAGTTTTGTTGCCCACGCTGGAGTGCAGTGGGACTATCTCAGCTCACTGCCACCTCCACCTTTCAAGTTCAAGTGATTCTCATGCCTCAGCTCCAAAGGATTATAAGCGTGCACAACCACGCCAGCTAGTTTTTGTATTTTTAATAGAATCAGGGTTTTTCCATGTTTGCCAGGCTTGCCTCAAGTGATCCACCTGCCTTGGTCACCCAAAGTGCTAGGATTACAGTTGTGAGCCATCACGCCCGGCTTGGTTACCTGTTTTTGTTTTGTTTGTTTTGTTTTGTTTTGTTTTTGAGATGGAGTCTTGCTCTGTCACCTAGACTGGAGTGCAGTGGTGCAATCTTGGCTCAGTGCAACCTCTGATTCAAGCAATTCTCCTGCCTCAGCCTCCCAAGTAGCTGGTATTACAAGCACCCGCCACCACACCTAGCTAATTTTTTTTTTTTATTTTTAGTAGAGTCAAGGTTTCACCATCTTGGCCAGGCTGGTCTTGAACTCCTGAGCTCATGATCCACCCACCTTGGCTTCCCAAAATGCTGGGATTAGAGGCGTGAGCCACTGCGCTCGGCTGATTACCTTTTTTTATTTAAAGCTGGGAATATACATTTCTTTGGATATGTTGGTAGTTCAAATTGGTTTTTGAATTAGTAAATAAATTGAGATGGAGAAGAGTATGAATTTCACAATAATTTTTTTATTCTTTGTAAGTAGAATTATTAGAAAACATTGGCTTTTTAATGGATTTTTTAAAGTAGTGATCATCCCTTGCATGTGAAGGAAGTAAAGAAACATGAAAATTTTAAAAATACACTTCAGAAGAACCTGTCGTTACACCAGTGTTTGAGAAGGCCAGTGTACTTACTGGTCTTCTACCCAGTCTAGGAGACTGGTAGTCTTCTATAAAAATAACAGCAGTTTTAGTGAAATGGTTAAGGATGAAGGAAGATAAAATCTCTAATTTTCTTGTCTCCCTGTGAAGGAATACTAGCAGTGATTACTTTATGTAGAAATAAACTAGCGTAGACAGCCTAATCTAGAGAATATAGTCAACTGTATCAATGCTGCTGGAAGACCGATTAAGATGATGATGAGTGCCCTTGTCAAGGAGGAGTTTCAGCTGGTTGCCATGGAACCCTGACTGTAGTGCTAAACACAGACAACTCCTGAGAGAACTTTGACTGCAAAAGGAAGTAGAGAAATGGGTGACAAGTAAAGAAGAAGAATGTGAGATTCAAGAGACTTTTGTTTCATTTTCAATTTTAAAATGGAAACTGTTAGAGTATTTTTGTTTGTTGTTTGGAATAATCCAGTAGAGAAGAAATGTGTTTTTGGAATTTAGTTTTGTTTTTATGTGTGAGCTTTGGAAAGTTTGATCCATTCTTTTTTAAATATTTATAGTAAATCAATTCTTACAATTTCTATTCATGTATCATTTTATTGGAAGAGGTTTTTCTTTCAGAATTGGTTCAGGAATGGAATATTTTAATATAATGGTACGTGAAAATGATGACCTAAAAGTTAAACTCACAGGCATATATTTTTAGAATCTGTAATAATAAACATACAAACACTTGAGTCATATTGAATAGAATTTAAACATTCCTTGATGATTTATGTATCACAGTACCTTTGAAAGTAGCATCACGAATAGCTGTGCTTTAGCAAGGTGTTCTAAAATAACAGGCGTGTCACCTTTATGGTTTTTCAGATTGTGGGGAGGCGGAGGCTTTCTAATGAATAATAGAAAAGCAAACTCCTGAAAAAGTTCATTGCAGACTGTTACTTTTGGATTGTATAGTTCAAAGGTTAAAAAAAAAAAAAAAAAAAAAAAAATGTTTCCCTGGACCAATCAGCAGCCTCTTTGACATGTATTGTACACTCAGTAAGTGTTGGTGGAATACGTGAATAGTTGAAAGGATGAATGAATGTTTTTTGGTGAATTTCTTTAGAGAAACCAAGTTTTCAGATTACTAAAAGCAGGTTTCCAAAACTGCATAGGTATAAAATCTTACTTTAAAAAATTGCAAGATTCAGAGATTATTTGTAGTCATAGATAATAAGAATTCATCTGCTATTATATTACTTGTAAACAGTTGAAAAGAAATATTACTTTTATAGCGTATTATAGAGTATCCTGAAACACATATTTTGGAGCCAGAATTCTTGGGTTTGAATGCTTAGTCTGCTATTGACCAGTTTTATGGGCCTGGGCAAATTATATGGCCTTTCCTTGCCTACTTTCTTCCTGTATTAAATGCCTAGTAAGTTACCTACTACACAGAATTGTTGGGAGGATTCAAGACACTTAAACACTTGTACAGTGTTTAGAATAGTACACAGTACCTGCACAGTATGTCCTGAAAAGCTCACCAATGTCATCATTTAAATAAGGGTTTCTGTTACATAATTAATATTTATCTCATAAGTCTTAGTACCAATTAAAGCTTGTTTGTATATAAAAGGGCAACAGGGCCTGGTGCAGTGATTCACGCCTGTAATCCTAGCATTTCGGGAGGCCGAGGCAGGTGGATCACCTTAGGTCAGGAGTTCAAGACCAGCCAGGCCAACGTGGTAAGACCAGCCAGGCCAACTTGTTGAAACCCCATCTCTACTAAAAATACAAACAATAAATAAATACATAAGCTGGGTGTGGTGGCAGGTGCCTGTAATTCCAGCTACTCAGGAGGCTGAGGTAGGAGAATCACTAGAACCCTGGGGATGGAGGTTGCAGTGAGCCGCGATCACGCCATTGTACACTGGCCTGGGTGACAGAGTGAGACTCTGTTTTAAAAAATAAAACAAAACAAACAAAAAAAAAAAACGGGGGGGGGACAACAAGAGAAAAAACTAGTGTGTTATATATATTTTTTCTATGAAGTAATACAAGTAACATGTTCTTTTTCTTTGGCTGTCAGAAAACTTGATCTAAACTTAATTGTTTTATATTAGTAGTAATATATTTTATTTGTCCTATAATATATCCTTTTCATTTATAGTTTTATCCCCTTGTAGAAAATAATTGTATTTTATATCACCTGTGAAAAATTTCCTCTAAACTTTATGAATAGGAGAGAGAAATTACAAATACAGAGGTTTTATTTAAGAAATAGTTATAGATATTCTTTGTATTTTACATATTTACTATTTGCCTGATTGGAATTTTTTGGTTTTTTTTTTTTTAGGCTTGCAAGGAAAACCTCTAATGAAAAGAACAAGGTATTGTAAAAGTATATTGTCAAGAATGTTGTTGAAAATTCCTTATTAAAGTTCACTTAAAAACAGAAAATCCTTTGTTATAAAGACATTGGCTTTCAAAAAGCAACAGCAACCATTCATAAAGGTACCCTTTTAACCAAAGTCAGTTATTTTAAGAAGTACTTTGGTTTTGCTCATAGAAAAAGATGAATAGTTCCCACTGGTGCACATTTAGTATTTGCCATAAATATTTGGTAGACATTTTGAAACAGTGTTATTTATTATAGGTTAAAAGAGATCTATATTCCAAGGATGACCTCAATGACATAATTTGGTCACCTGAAACATCCTCAGAGGATGATGACTTGCCTTATTCCAGTGATAAAAACTTTATGTTATTCATTGAACAACATGGAATGGAGCATAAAGGTAGGACCAACGCATAAATATAAGGCTTTTTCCCTATCCTATAGTAATGTATGCACACATTGCTTAGCACCGTACCATAGATCACTGATGTGTTACAGGGATGTTCATCTCAGAAATGTGCCTTTACCCAGGGTCAGGTTGTCATTATCTCATACCTTGAATACTGTGATAAACTTATAACTCTTTTCCCTACTTCCCCACCTTCCAAAACCATGGTCTATTCTGCAACCATAATTATATACATTTTTAAAATTTGCATCTGATCGTGTTACCCGATTGCTTAACACCCAGCTGCAACTTGTCATTGCTATAAGGTAAAGATGACAATGCTCTAGCTTTATATTACTTCATTTCATACCCTTGTTTCTGTCTGTGTCACAGCCAGTGCCCAGGTGTTTGCTCCTACAATCCTTAGCTTTAGTGAAATATAGTTGATATATGTTAAAGTGCACATATGTAAGATGTACAATTTAGCAAGTTTTGACAGGTGTATACACCTGTAAAACTGTCACCATAATCAACACAGTTATCATATCCATCACCCACAAAAGTGTCCTTTGCTGCCTTATGTTCCCTTTTTAGAAAAACTGCTAAATTATTTTCCAAAAGATGTGTACCATTTTGTATTGTCATCAGCAGAACAGGACGGTTGCAGTTGCTAAATTGTTACACTAAGTACTGCAGTATTTATTTGTAGCCATTCTCATGGATGTGGTTACTGTGCATGATCCTAATGACTAAACATGTTAAACATCTTTCTATGGTTTTATTTGCCATCTGTATATCCTCTTTGGTGAACTATGTTTTCAAATCTTTTTCCATTTACAAAATTAGATTGATGTTTTCTTGCTTGTTGAATTTTAATAGTTCTGGATACTATTACTTTACAAGAATATTTTTTCCAGTTTGTAGGTTGACTTTATTAATAGTGTCTTTTGAAGAGTTTTAAATTTTGAAGAACTTATTTAGTTACAGAGTTTGCATTTTATGTCGTATCTAAGAAAACTTTGCCTAGCACAAGTAATTTTCTCAAAAATTTTATTCTGTGCGTCATTCTAGAGGTCTTATAGTTCTGGGTCTTACATTTAAATGCATGTTTCATTTTGAGTTTATTTTTGTATATAGAATGAGGTATAGATTCAAATTAACTTTTTGGATCTGAACAGCCAGTTGTTTGAGCACTATATGTGGAAATGGCTATCCTTTCTCTACCACATTGCCATCCTGCCTTTGTCAGAAATAAACTGGTTGCCTATATGTCATCTATTTGTGGACTTTCTATTGAATTCTATTAATTCAATGCTCCTCAAATTATGGTAGGGTTACTTCCTGATAAATCCACCCTTTCAGTCAAAAGCTAAGTAATACTTCATTTTACCCATTGTAAAATTAATAAGTTAAACCACCTGAAGTTGGGGACTGTCTGTATTTGACTTTCTTTATATAGGTTGAGCATCCCTAATTCAAAATCCCAAATCTGAAATGCTGTAAAATCCACAATGTTTTCATTGTCAGCCTGATCTCACAAGTGGAAAGTTCCATAACTGAGCTCATGTGTGCAAACTTGGTTTCATTCAAAAATTATGAAATATTTAAAATTACTTTTAGAGGCCAGGCGTGGTGGCTAATGCCTGTAATCCCAGAACTTTGGGAGGCCGAGGCAGGAGGATCACTTTTGGTCAGGAGTTCAAGATCATCCCGGCCAACATGGCAAAACCCCATCTCTACTAAAAATACAAAGATTAGTTGAGTATGGTGATGCACACTGTATTCCCAGCTATTCAGGTGGCTGAGGCAAGAAATCACTTCAGCTTGGGAGGCAGAGGTTGCAATGAGCCGTGATCTCACCACTGCACTCTGGCCTGGGTGACAGAGCAAGATTGTCTCAAAAATTAAAATAATAAAATAAAATAAGATTACCTTCAGGCTTTGTGTATGAGGTGTATATGAAAAATAAGTGTATTTTGTGTTTAGACCTAGGTCCTGTGTCCTAGAGATCTCATTATGTATATGCAAATATTCCAAAATCCAAAATCTGCAATACTTCTGGTCACAAGCATTTTTAATAAGGGATACTCATCCTATACCAGTGACACATTGTTTTGATTACTATTGATTTGTAATAATTCTCAAAATCAGTTTTCAGATTTTGTTATTGGTTCTGTTTTGACTCTGCTAGATCCTTTGCATTTCCACATCGATTTGTCAATTTAAAAAAAAAAGTCTGCTGGCTTGTTGGGATTGATTAGGTTAGGATTGTGTTGTATTTATAGATTATGGAGAATGGACATCGTAACTATAATGAATCTTCCTGCTCCTGAAGAAAGTGTATGTCTCCATTTATATAGGTCATATTTAATTTTCTCAGTAATATTTTGTAGTTTTTAGTATATAGGTCTTTTTATGTTTTATCAGCTGTTTACTTCAGTTTTTGATATAGTCATAAATGATATTTTTAAAATTTTACTCTATCGCTAATATACAGAAATACAGTTGGTTTTTGTATGTTGATTTTGTATAGTCCAATCTTGCTGAACTCACTTATTAGTTCTGGTACATTCTGAGTAGATTTGATCAGATTTTCTACATAGACCAAAGATTGTCAAACCTTTTCTTTCTCCGATGCCCTCTTATTAAAGACTTGTGGCAAAAGGGGTTTCCGTTGTAGCGATGGGCTCTGCCACTGTAGTGAAGGCAGCCACCAGACAACCTGTACGTTAATGAACACAGCTGTCATTGGCGAAGACAAGCTGGTCCACAGGTTAAATTACTCAAACCTATTGTGTAATAGTCATGGTTGTATAAGATAGTTTCTTATTTATTTTCAACTGGATGACTTTTATTTCTTTTTCTTGCCGGCTCGCTAGCTAGAAGTCTTCAGAACAATGCTGCATAAGCAGTGAAAGCAGACGATCCTGTGTTGTTGTTCATCTTCTGGGGAACATAGTCAGTTTTTCACCGTGATACATGTTAGCTGTAGGTTCATCATAGATGCTCTTTTATCTTGCTGGAAAAGAATTCTCATTTGCTGAGACTTTTCATTTTTACAAAATCAGGAATGAGTGTTGACTTGTATCAAATGCCTCTGTCTGTTGAGATGATTCTATGGATCTACTGTTTTCCGTTGTTAATCTGGCAGATAACAACGATGTTTGAATGTTAAGCCAACCCTGCAGTCCTGGGAAAAAAACCCATTTGTTTATGATGTATTGTCCTTTTATTATACTGTTGGATTCAATTTTCTAAAGAAGTTATGATAAAGTCTGTATTGGTTTATTATAAGAGTTTATTTTATTAGACCAGTTTTATGTTCACAGCGAAATTGAGAGGAAGAATTACAGAGACTTTTTGAATACCTTCTACCTGCACACATATACTTAGCCTCCCTCCTTATCAGTAACCCTCCCACAGTGGTACAGTTGCTATAATGCATGAGCCTACATTGGCACATCAGAGTCACCTGCAGCCTTGGCGTGTGCATTTGTCACGCTGGTGCTGTACATCGTATAGGTTTAGTCCCAAGGTAGACTGACATGAATGCGTATCATATACCGTTATTTTCACACTCTAAAATCCTCAATTACTCTACCTGTGTATCTTTTCCTGCCATCCTACCCTCTGGCAGCCCACTGAATCTTTTACTGTATCCATGATTTTACATTTTCAGAAAGTCATATGGTTAGATCTTACATAAAGTAGCCTTTTTAGGTTGGCTTGTTTGACTTGTTAATATGCATGTATGTTTCCTTCATGTATTTTCGTGGTTTGATTGGTCATTTCTTTTTCACATGGAGTAATATTCCTTTGTTGACTGTTTTAACCACAGTTTGTTATTCACCTATTGGAGATGTCTTGGTTGTTTCACAATTTGGTTCAGTTTTACATTCATATACTCATTAGGGAGGTTTTTGGTGGTAGTATCGTTGTCTGGTTTGGTTCAGGGATAAATGCACCAACATTATACAGTGAGTTGAGATGTACTCTTTCTTGTTTCTTTTTGCACAGTTAGTGTTGGGTGTATTTCTTACAGAAAATGTTTGGTACAATTCATCAGCATGGCTAAGCTGAGCCTGGAGTTTTCTTTGTTGGAAGGAGGTTTCTACTATAACTTTATTTGCCTCATGTCAGTTATGTTACGCTGATGATCTTAAGCCAATCCGATGTTCTAAGGTAGTACACTGTGTATGTGTGTCTATATATGTCCTTTGATTTTGTGTAATTTTTGTGTTTAATTCTTGTAAGGTACTTAATAGGTGCTTATATTTTTATAGGATGATGAGACATTTTGACATAGGCTTACAATGTGTAATAATCACATCAGGGTTAATTGGGGTATCCATTAACTCAAACATTCATCATTTCTTTGTTTATGAACATTCAGAAATTAGTACTTCTCAGTTATCATAAAATGTACAACAAATTATCACTGACTATAATCACGTTATTATGCTATCAAATGCTAGATTTTATGTGCTACATCTAGTTATGTTTGTTTGCATTAAGCATTCTCATTTTCCACCACCCTTACATTCTTCTAACCTTTAGTAACAATTCTTCTACTCACTAATCATACGAAAATAATTGTTCTAATTTTTCACTCCCAGACGTGAGTGACAATGACAACATGAGAAGCTTTTCTTTTTTTTTTTTTTAATTTTGTACAGCTTTATTTTTATTCAGACTGATACATTTCGAGTAGGATCTTGTACCTCACTGATACAGAACTACTCCCAACCACCCATCTTCTTGCACTTGGTCTAATATAACAACCTCCAAACTGATCTCGTTTCCGTGCTTCCCCATCTATAGTCCATGCCCCATTTAGTAGCAAGGGTAATTGTTTTGAAATATAAACCATGTTTTTCCATAAAACCCACTAGTGGCTTCTTATGCAAATAAAATCCAAACTTATGATATGCCTTTGAAGACCTAGAAACCCTGTTCTCTGCATGCCTCCCCAATTTCTTCTCCTAAAACCCGTCCCTCCCCTCACCAATTATCTGGTCTCATGCTGTATCATTTCTTCAAGCACGCCCAGCTTGTTCTGACCCAGAGACCTCTGCACTAGCTGCTCCTCCATAGAGATGCTACTCTGCTTTGAATGACTGTCTCATACTCATCACTTAGTACCTATTTTGAATATCACAACACAGAGAGATCTTCTTTGAACACACCATGTAAAGTAGATCCTCATTTAGTCAGAATCTTTCTAATACTCCTAGTTGTGTTTACTTAAAACTCATTACTATCTAAAATTATGTATTTGTTTACTTGTTAATTTATTTTCTTCCCCTCATTCACTAGAATGTCAGCTACATGAGCAGGAATCTCAGATTTATGAGGTTACCATTGTAATTCCCAGTATTTAGAATTGTAAGCATTCAGTTAATAGTGAAGCTTTTCTTTCTGCAATACCTATATTATTTTTACTTGACATAAGTTCTCCAGTTCCATCATGTCATTGCAAGTAACAGGATCACAGTTGTCTTCTTATGGCTAGACAGCACTCCATTGTGTATATATACCACATTTTCCTTATCCATGTGTCTGTTTGTGAAAAAAGATTGATTCTAAATCTTGGCTATTGTGAGAATCTATTATAAACATGAAATGACATCTCCTCAATATACCAGTTCCCTTGCTTTTGAGCATATACACAATGGAATTGCTAGATGGTATGGTGGCTTTTAGTCCTTCTGAGGGCCCTCTATACTGTTATCACAGTGGCTGTCCCTAAATTTACATTCCCTCAGCAACAGTGTATAAAGTCCCCCTTACTCCACATTCTACTAACATTTATTAGTAATTCATTTGGATAAAAGCCATTTTTGGGTGAGATGATATCTCACTGTAGTGATGATTTGCATTTTTCTGGTGATCCGTGATATAGAACCTTTCCATATGCCTGTTGCCATTGGATTGTCATTGGATAGTAGTTTAAAGACAAAACAAGGCCAGAAGAGTGCCATTGTGCTTTTATTTCTGATCATGTTTCTCCTCACAGGGAAATAGCAAAAGATTAAGAAATAGAAGTTATCAAAATGTAAGATGCTAGTGTTAAATGGAGAGGAAAGAAGTGGTGGGATAATTTATGAAGGATAT